TAAAAACAAATTGAGACTTACTATATTTTTTTGTGAAAATGACAACATGGCGACGTCGTCTTTCAGATCGGAATTCGATGAAATTTCAGAAAGCTGCAGATCAGAATCCGATCAAAATGATATAACAACATCTCCAACTACAAAATTCAAACCGGAAGTTATTTGAGGACTAGTGATAAAGTACGGCTCCAACAGGACACATATTGAAAAAGCATTGAGTCATCATACGTTACGGCTGACGGCCAGGCATTTTCCTCCTCTAATTCTTTTAAATGATAGCAGTCAAACTTCTCGAAGATGTTATGTTTTCGGCAACACTAAACGAAGTGACAAGAAACACAAAGCGATACACGCTATCAATGTCTCACATGCGACGTTGGTCTGTGTATTACTGATTATTTCAAAGAATATCATATTTTACAAAAAGATTTAACGTTATATTCGTCAAATTCTGTTAAACCAGATCAGAAAAAAAGTTACAAAAAATTTTGAAAGAACAGGGTTTTCCTTCTTATGCCGGTAACCAAAGAGTTAAAAGACCGGGAACCTTTTCTTGACAATTCGGCCCAATTAGAAGCTGAAGTTACATCCATGTGAAACTTTTAGCATACGCTCAACACAATAATAGTAATCATTCCTGAAATTTTTAGCTGAATTGGTTAAACTTTTCCTTGATTTCGCAACTTCTCAATTTTGGCATTTTTTAGAAGAGCCAGAGACTACAATATCAAGATAGTATCTCAGTTATTTAATATACCATTCGGTACAGCATTAAATTTAGAGTAAAGTCGTATGAAAGTCACAAATGATAGATCAACATTTCTTTAAAAAAAGACACATCTTGATGCAAAGGTCATATTTACTCTACTACAAAATCTCCTGGACCTTTTGTTCTCTTGAATTTGATTCAGATCCAATGCCATTTTTCTAGGAACATCAGCAATTAATAAGTGCTACAATATTACAAACACAATAGGATGAAAAACTCTGTCCTCATCTCATCATAAAGAACACAGTCCATAAAATTTAGAAAAAAATACTAAACCACGAAAATTGTTGCTCGGCCTCGCCCAATAAAGACTTAATTTCTTTTCGTACAAGAAAATAGAAAAGATCTAACTTAATTTCATTTGTTTTCAACTGAAAAATACTTTTTAAGTGACACTAATTGAATACAATATAAGTCTAATTTTTGAAATTCTAAAGATAAATTTTAATTGTGTCATGTGTTTCTTAATCAATTTTCGAACAACAATGTCAATTGGAAAGCTTATGCTGAGGGAACATAAAAGGCAAAAATCAGTTAAAACCAATCTTTAAAGCTAAAAACCACTAGCACATTTAGTACTGAACAACACTATTTAAAAATGTCATCGTAATGTAGCAGTTTGTTCAAAACATATGACCACAAACTATATATGTTGTTCAACGTCTGAAGACTATATTAGAAGAAAAGCAAAACTTAGTTTTTCGAAAATTTTCTCCTTTTTTCGATAAAATATAGGAAAAATAGGAGTTTTTATTGAAAGATAGGACAAAAATAGGACTTTTTCAAAAATACAGGAATTATAGGAAATAGAGGTCGAATCGCAGCCCAGAGAAAGTTCCTCTAGAGGAGCTTTCAAAATCACGAATACTACACACTTCCCAATTTTTCTTAAAAGCCGATGATAGGGGGGAGCGATGGATATCTTCGCGAAGGTTTCCTACTCTTCCTCAGAGGTTTCAACAATTTCGGAAAAAGTTCCCGTGACTGACCGTCACCAAGCTCCAGTCACGATCACGATCTTTGAAAAAAGTCACACACGGTCAAGACCGTGACTCACTGGTAGTCACGTCGGGCACTAGTGGACATACACACATGAATCATCCAATCAATGTACAAATCGATATCCATCGATGTACTTTATGATGAGACTAACTTTTATGAGCTAAAATTTTCCACAAAATTAGTGCATCTTAAATACTTATCGACTGCAGAAAAAAAACTTTCTTACCCATCAAAACTAAAACGCTCATGCGGCGACGTATATTTAAGTGTGCTACGATTAGCAAAACAATCGTATGTTGTATGTCAAACAAAACGACATATGTGACAATGACCATCACAGAAAGAAAAGATAGAAGAACAATTGATCATGAATTTGCAGAAGATTATTCGTATATACTCTATTTGTAGCAAACTGTCTCTTTTACATATAACTTTCATTTTGTTAATTTCACAGAGAAATGCCTAAGAAAACACGAAAATTCGTGGTGTGTAAAAAGATCGAAGCTATTTGGAAAAAAAAGTTGCATTGTAATGAACTCATTTGAAAAGGTTATCACTTAATTATTTTTCAACAGATGATCGCTTATCGGTGTTTGGGAAGTACACAGGAAGCTGTCATTGTTGCATGTATGGCAGTAGAAATTTATAATTTCTTCTGTATACTTTTATGTAAATGATCTTCGACAAATTGCCAGAATAGAAATGATTTTAATGTAAATTTTTCTAGTAGTATTCTGTTCAACCTTTAGCTTGATTTTAGAATTCACAAACATTTTACTTGAATCGAATTCTAATCCATGATACTGATTTGAATGACAAACATAATAGAAATAGATGTGAACTGAGTGTAACCAGTCTTTCAGCAATAATTAGAAGATAAACCAATATTACGAAATACTAATTCTTGAGTCTCAGTGATTTTACTTCAGAATTTATCAGCGAATTTTTGCCTGTTGTCTTAATTAGAACAATACATTAGATCAAGAAAATATTGGTTGTGGATTTTCATATTTGTATCAATCATCTTCAATATGTATGGAACATAACTATTTGAAAAACTACGTAGAGAACGTCCATCAGAGAAAATAAAATTACCATGCCAGTTACTTCAATTAAGTTTGAATATAGTTTTCTTTTTCTTCTACCTAAGTAAACAGGAAGGCGTTCGAAAAAATGTGGATGATTATAATAAATCTTTCTTAAGATAATCATGGGAAAGACAAAGGAAAGTATGACATCAATTTATTTCAGAGTGCTTTTGTATAATAAACGGTTTCATATAATCATTTCATATAAAAATGATTTCTCTTATTTTATTTTATCCATAATTTTAATAAATTGTTTTCTTATAGTAAGAAATATAAACGATTATTAAAGAAAAGCATTGAAATTTTCGTTAAAAAAAGCAAAAATTTCTTACTTAGTATTTAACATTAGATGAACGATTTCTGTTTCAACTTTTAGGAACTGAAATTAGTACCATTTTGCGTAAGTTTTACTAATCAGAACTAGAATCAAAACTGTGGTACTAATGGCAGATAATTTTTGAAATCGCTGGACTCTAATCAAAAGCCTTCTCTCATAATACTATTTCTTTTTCGAATGCTATTTCTTCCTCAAGAATTTTCTTTCAATCAGCGACATTAACACCTCAGAAAATAAAATTAATTAGAACTAAAAGTCGACAAGGCATGACACAAGAAAGTGCTGCGAACGTTAAGGATATATTATTAATATTCTTTTCTCATCTTTATATATTCTTTCTTTTTAGAACATCACACTTTTTTCATTTTTTTGGATATTCAAAAATAAATGTTCGTTCTTTTCTTTGTTTATATAATTTTTTTTTTGTATAATTCTTTTGATTTTAATAAATAAATTGATAAATAAAATTTAAAAAAAATTCATGCATTACAATCAAATAACAGTTCAGCATGTAACTCTATTCTATAGAAAGTTGAAAAACTGCCTTGCATGTAAACTGTTATGCTGATGATGGAAACTTTTTTGAAATAATCCATACCGCTCATTATTGAGACAACGCCATTATATAATTTGATACCATAATGATACCTCGATCATGACGCTCAAGAATTGTAATGTGGCGTTCACCTTTCGTGTAAGACTCACTTTTAAAAAAAATAAAAATGTAATTTTAAAGAGAACTTGTCATGAGTAATTTCTGTGACAAAATTATCTCTTGATCCTCTCACTCACAAATATGTCACTACTAGTGATACATTTCATCATTGGTTGTTCTTTCTCGCTTGCTTTTTTGCCTAAGACCACGTACTAATACAATATTACTCTAGTTTCTATGCACCGATAGTTTTTATCAAGTTTATTTATATTTTATATTATTAAAATCAGATATATCAGATGAAGAATTAATAAGAAATTAAATAATTTTAATCATATCATACATGTTAAATATTCTGAAAAGAAATGTTTATATATTCCTAATATCATAATTTCAACAAATAAATTTTTTTATGAATATAGATGTACAATATTACTTTATGAATATAATTTAGAAGATTATGTTTATATTGGATATAATAATAATTAAAATTAAAACAATATTTAATTGATATTATTTTATGTTCAAATGTAATTGATGAAAAATTAAAAAAATTTTTGTTGAAAAACAATTCCTATGAAAATTTTTTTTCAAATATTTTATTATTAATTTATAAAATATTTCAAAATGATTTATCAATAATTTTTATTGCAAAAATATTCAATCAACAATAATTTCATATGTACCATTAGAAAATTGAATTAATATGAAACATGAATAATTTATTTATTGTTTAAAAGGATTAGGTAAATTTGAAAATAATTTTTCATATAAATTTTTTATTAAAATTATTTGTTAATAAACAATTCAATCATAAAGAATCGTTTGATCAAAAAAAAAAAAAATCTTATTAATGATTTCGATTCGAAATTTGATTCATGAAAAATAAGTGTAGATGTAACTATTCTCTTTAGACAATTATACATTCACATCTTCAAATAGTATTCAAATGTAAAAATTAATATAAACTAAAAACATTTCGTTTTCAATGATTAATATTAAATGAATATCTTATAGATGTTTTTTTTTTTGATAAATATATAAAATTTAAATATTCGTTTTTTCAGATAAAATATGTTTTTGAACAAGAAATTCTATTTGTTATATCGATATAAATCTTTACTGATTTCCTATGCAAAAAGAAATAAAATGTATTCAATATCATCATCATCATCATCAAATAAATTAAATTCAACAATGAAGATACTTATTGATTCAAAGCAATATAAAAAAGCTTTGGATCTTTTTAATAAACAATCTCAAATATCAACAAATTTCACAATAAATATGGCAATAAAAGCTTGTACTAAACTACGTGATTATCAAACAGGATTTAAAATTCTAGAAGAATTTTCATCAAAATCACGCAATGATCCTTATATTCAAACATCATCAATACATTTTTACAGTGAGTCATTCATTTATCTATGAAAATTATCAAAACATTGATATCGATATCGCTCTATCATATAAACAAAATATCTTTTACGCATGAAAAACAAAATCAATCGAAGATTTTCATATATGAAGATTTTGTCTTTCAAATCTGAGAAAATAATTTCTTTAGTGACCTTTATTAGTCTTTCGTCTCGTTTTAGTATTTTGTTTTGTCGAAGGATTTGTTTATTTATATTGGAATTATAAACGAATAAATATTTTTTTTTTTTTGTCTAAACTTTTTATAATCTGAAAAATACTTCGAGTCTATTGTCAAGAAAGTAGTTTAATACGTCAAAACAAAGATTTTTGAAGACAATATTTGAACGAACAATAATGTAGAAGAATGAAAGAGAAAATGAAAATAGAAAAGTTTTACTTTTCTATAGACAATCATGTAATTGATCGAGAGTTGAAGTACAACCATAGAAAACTTTCAAATCAGGTCGAGATTAGTTTTGTCAATATTGTATTTAAAATTTCAGGTCTGTTAAACGTGTAATCGATGATTGATGCAGTTTCTAATAATTACTGATTTGAGAAGAGAATATTTGAACAACATTTTTTACTTTGAAAAGAAAACTTCTCGAGATAAATTCATTCAGACTTTTTCTTATACTTAATTCATTCAATTGAATTAAATTTGAAATTAGCTTAAAAACAAAAAAAAATTACCTCAATTAATTTGGTTTTTTTTTAGCAAAGAGCCGTAAGCAAATATGAGTGAATAGAAATGTAAAATGAAATCTATGCCACTTTCATCCGACATTTTTAAGACGTTAGTAATTAGGAATAAAAGTATTACGAGATTTAGAAGACTCGAGAGCAATCCCCAATTTTTCTTAACATTTGTATGATTCGAATACATTTTTTAATGTTTGAAATAACGAAACTTTTCTCTGTGCTCGCTGATCAACGATTAAACAATAAATATGAAGGATTTTAGGACTTGATTTTCCATAACTGACACGATACGGTGAGTTGATTAAATTTTCGTTTATAGTTAATCTAATTTCGATGAAAGCTTTCCGAACTAGTATAATTTTCTAGTATAGTCGAACGAGAGAAGCAATCCAGGTGCTAAAAAGCTTTTCAGCTTAAATTTTACTCACAGACTAGGGGCGGCGCGATCAGGGGTGGGGTGGAGGAAGGTACCCTCTGCTTTGAGAATTCTGGCTTAGATTTTCTCCTAATTTAGAGAGATTATTAAACAGTTTTCTCCGATTTTGGAAAAATATAATCGGACAAATTTTATAAACTTCGAGAAAAATTTTCGCTTACTTTCTCCGGTCTTTGGATACCTCAGCCCTGTTCTGACCTCTTCGCACCGCCTCTGCCACGGGCAGTGGATATATAGACTAGAAAAAACTCCAGAAGCTTATGGTCTCAAATTGAGACTTGGCTGAGATATCGACTTTCTACTACACTCTTTTTCTAGGATTCGACTTTTTTAGTAAAATCAAAGTTTCGAGTATTGACCTGAAATTTTACATTCATTAAGGTCTCAATCAAACCAGCTTACCTACGAAGTTTCAGAATTTCTTAATGAACTATCTACGAGATATAGGTTTTCGAAAAATACTCGTATATAATACAATATCTACAAAAAATATTTTTAAACTAACGTATTGGTACCTCAAAGACAATTCATTAAGAAATTCTGAAACTTCGTAGGTAAGTTGGTTTGATTGAGACCTTAATGAATGCATAATTTCAGGTCAATACTCGAAACTTTGATTTTACTGAAAAAGTCGAATCCTGTAAGAGTGTAGTAGAAAGTCAATATCTCAGCCAAATCACACCTTTGGCCCAGATGCTTCTAAGTTTTTCTAGTCTATACATCCTCTGTCTGTAGGTAAAATTTGAACTGAGAAGTTTTTTAGCATCTGAAGACGTTACCTTGTAAGTTATGCCACTATGATTGATCAACGCATTATTTATATGGCATAGAAATTCTTGAAATGAAGTCTATTTTTAACTGTTCGCCATCGCTTAAATCAACATTGATATGAAATATTTATTAATCATTTGATATTATTTGTTTTTCTTAGTGCAATTTCATAAAATTGATCATGCTCATAATTTATTTTTGAAAGCTATTAACAAATCAGATGCATTGTATGCAGTTATGTTTCAAGGTTAGTATTTTATTTTTCATCTATTAATGATAAAATATGTATTAATAATCAGGTCTAATTACTAATAAAGTACCAGAGAAAGTATTGGATTTATTTAATCATATGAAAATTCAACCTGGTCGTTTTACAATCACTGCTTTATTTAATGCATGTGCACAACTTTCAAATGATAGAGCAAAAACTATTGGCAAAAAGATTCTTCAACAGCTAATGAACAATAATCATTCTGATAATATTCTATTAAATTCAGCGATATTTATGTTGATGAAGTTTGGTGATGTTAAATATGCTGAAGATATTTTTAATTTGATAGAAAAAAAAAGATATCTATAGTTTTGGTGCAATGATAAAAGGTAGTTTATTATTTTGCTGCTCTTTTTGTTTTTGTATTTCATTAAATCGGTTTTAGGATATCAAGAAAATCAAGAGTATGAAAAAGCCTTAGATTTATATGAAAAGATGAATTTCAAAGGAAATAAAGTCATACATACGATTGTGTTTAATACTTGTACTCAACTTTCAAATGATCGATCAAGAGTTGTTGGAAAAAAACTTCTTAAAACGATACTCAATAATGGTCAACATGACAATCTTGTACTTAATTCAGCAATACGAATGTTAACAAGATTTGATGATGTTAAAGAAGCTGAACGTATTTTTTTTTTGATCAAAGAAAAAGATATCTATAGTTTTAATGCAATGATAAAAGGTAATTTATTATTCAATTCAGTTTCTTTTTTATTTTATTCAATTGAATTTAGGATATGAGAAAAATGAAGAATATGAAAAAGCTTTAGATTTATATGAACAGATGAGTTTTAAACCAAACAATGTAACTTACACAATTGTATTTAATATATGTACTCAACTTGCAAATGATCGATCGAAAAAAATAGGAAAAAATCTTTTTGAATTAATTCTTACTCATGATCATCAATATGATGATTTTCTATTAACTTCAGCTACAAACATGTTAATGAAATTTGGAGATGTTAAGAATGCTGAACGTATTTTTCGATTAATTCGAGATAAAAATATTATCACTTATACTATAATGATAAATGGATACAAAATAAATCAAGAACCATTGAAATGTTTGCAGATTTTCAATGAAATCGAACTGAATGATTTGATGTTCAACGAGAGAATTTTCACTGTAGCTATTGGTGCGGGATCCCGAAAGATGCGCACGGCGAAACTTGCGCACGGAGACTCTGAGGGCTCTGGCTGAGGCTGTGAAGTGCGGATGATGGTGCGGATGTAAGTGAGGGTGAGGGCGAAGATGATGGTGAAGGCAGTGAACTTGAAACGCTTCGTTCTGCTTTGAAACCCTCATTTTCCGTTCCGTGCGCAACTTTCGTCGTGCGCATCATTCGTAGACCCTATTGGTGCATGTGCACAAATTGGATTTGTTGAAAAATGTAAATCTATTGTTGATCGAATTCCCATACATATACAAAACCAACAAGCTATACAGAATGCATTGATCAACATGTGGGTAAGAACATTTTTTTTTTGGAACAACGATGTTTTTCAACTAAGCAACCGTTTTAATTTTTCAGTATTTCAATTGAAAAAATATACTTCTATAGATACACAACTCGAGAAGTTCTCATAAGTTTTGAATTTCAACTGTTCAATTCTTAAAATTTATGATTTGAATATTTTAGTTTTCAATTGTTAATCTCTACGAGATTCTAGAGTGTTCTCCAAAAGTTTGACCAACAATTAGAGTTGTTGAAATGCTGTATGATAAGAAAATCTTCGAGAAGTCTTTAAGGATTCGACAAGAATTTACTATTCTTTCTGTGTGAATCTCAAAATGATTTCTATTAGGATCTAAGGAATTTTGTTTTTATTAGTGATTCGTTAAATATTCTATAGATTGAAAAACATTTCTGAAGATCCTTTGGGATCTGATAAAAGATTCCTGAAGGATCGAATAGAGATCTCTAAAGAAATTACTACATGAAACTCTGGATATCAATCAAAAATCAGTATTGATGTTACAAAAAACTTAGAAACTTCAGTTGGAGATCGGTTATCTTGTTGCAGAGAACGTTCTAAGGAAGTGTCTTAACAATCTGCATTTAACGTTCGGAACTAAATTCAGACTACTCAGCTGTTGATATTCATGTACGCGAAATGTGTGCACAGCCTATCTATAAAATAAACGAAGCATATTTATGCACGCGGATACAAATATTCTTAATGCTAGTGGATGAAAGTACTTCACAAGACCTATACACAGGAAAAGATACATGAACAAAGTATAGCAAGTCGGGTAAATCTGACAGAACTGAAAGTTAATGAGAAATTTTAAGTTCTATAGTGAGTTAACTGTTTCTACGTACTTAAATCAAGAAAAGTAGTCTCGCCGACGTCTATCTAAAACATTTATCATCTTTTCTTTTTTTTATGGTGAATTGAAAAAAATGTAAAATTTAGAAAATAAGAACAAAAACTGAACTTCTACTTTGTTTTTGAACTTGAAAAAAATATTTGAAATAAACATTAGATGGTTTATGTTAATCATGAATTTACAACGATGTAATGATATCGAAGAATAAAAGACGAAAAAAAAAAATTTCAACATTGCTTGTAGTTTAACATTCGATATAAAAAGAAAACTTCTCTACATTGAAAAAAATATTTTAAAATTCAAAGGCTTATCGAAATGTTTCTTAATAAAGAGCAAAACTCTTTATATTTTTGAGAGAAAACTATTTTAATAATATATCTCATATGTATGGATTGAAATCATCAAATTTATTTTATTTTCTTTAAACACAGGGCAAAGCTGGTTCAATCGATAAAGCACAAAATGTTTTCAAATCGATTACTGATTACAATATAATAATATATAGTTCAATGAGTGAGTGTAATTATGTTTCTTGAAATTTATTTCAATGATGTTTTTATTTTCTTCTTTGGTAGTTAATGCTTATGGACTTAATGGGATGGGTTATGAAGCTGTTGAATTATATAAAAGAATTCCAAATAATGAACAAGATGAAATTTCACATATATGTGTTTTAAATGCTTGTTCTCATTCTGGTCTTCTTGATGAAGCTCATATTATCTTCAATCAAATTCATATTAAAACAGAAAAAATTATAACAACTATGGTTTGTTAGTTTTCTGAATAAATTATTACTATTTTCTTTAATTATTTAGATTGATTGTTTGAGTCGTTTGTTTTTATTTGATGAAGCACAAAGTTTGATTGATAATTATGGAAAAATAAATCCACCAAGTCTTATTATGTATAGTAAGTATCTATCAGGCGATAACAATTGATCGTAATAAGTTCAAAAAAAAAATTTTGTCTCATATATTTCTGTACGAATGAATAATAAAATCTTGAATATTTCATTGAACAATCCACAATTGAAATTACTACAAACTTCGAACAATGTAAACTTACAAAATACAAGCTAAACCTTTTAAGAAGTCGGATAATATAGGTTATTGTATCTACCCTATGTTATAGCAGTATTCGTTTCAATGTTTTTTTTTCTCATACGAATAAATATATGATTTTGTAAACAGAATTCAATTTTGAATACTTCTTCCAAATATCTGTTAATTGTGGACATTTATTCAAATTTTTCTATAGATACACTTGTTTATTTATTTGTTTAACAGAATTTTTTGAGGACGGCGATATTTTCTCTGTTGCTAAGTTGTTTTGAAAATAAATATCTGATAAATATATCGTCCATATACAGAATAAGTTCATTTGATAACATTCAATTTCATATCTTATAAAAACATTGACTTTCTGATGTTTTATATTAAGTTTATATAGAATTTAATGATACATTATTCAAATGAAATTTCAAGATGTTATGATTTATCTTTGTTTAAATATTTGTAACGATTCAATGTTATTCGGTGGACCTACTTCATTTTGAAGAATTATTTCGTTTGTTGTTTATTTCAGTGGCTATGCTATCCGGTACACGTAATCATCGTAATAGTCAATTAGCTGAAAAAATATATGATCGTATGAAATCTTTATTTCCTGATGAAAAACAATCTCTTTTACCCAGTGCATTCCTTCTCTCAAATATATATTCTTCATTTGGTGAATATGAACGAGCAATGGATATTCGATCTAAACAAGAAAATGAATTAGGTTTAAACATCAAAGTTGGAGTAACATGGACAATGGTTAATGATGAATTAGTGGTAAAATATTTTATTTTAAAATAATATTAAAAAAAAATGAAAACCAATTTTTATTTGTTTAGGAATTTAAAGCTCATGATATTTCTCATCCACGATCAGAAGAGATCTATGCTCAACTTGATCGTTTAGCATTATTATTATTTAAACATGGTCTTACGTTTGATGCAAGTTGGATAACTCGTAAAATTAATATAAATGAAAGTTTTCAATCAGTTTTATGTGGTCATAGTGAAAAATTAGCCATTGCTTTTAATTTAATTCAACGACCTATACCATCAATCATTCAAATTACAAAAAATCTTCGTATCTGTGGTGATTGTCGTAAGTTTATTTTGTACTTTTCGATAATCGCTGGATTAATTTTATTTTCAGATCAAGTCACAAAATTAATTGCAAAAATACAACAATGTCATATTATTGTTCGTGATGCTAATCGTATTCATCACTTTTATCCAAATGGAAAATGCTCTTGTCAAGATCATTTTTAAGTTATTATAACTTTTTATGGACAATCAACGTATTAATTGTCATATTCATTTTTCATCGGTAAAAAAAAAACATAAAGTTTCAAAATATTTTTGTTTTTATCTTCTATTTAATATAATTTTAGATGAATCATTTTTGTGTACTCAAAAAGTGAGTACACTCTAGAATCGGTCAGTGTGTCCGGCCGGCCGTCCGTTTACACGATAACTTTTGAAAAGAGAGTCAGATCGCGATGAAATTTTCTACACAGTTCAGTCTTGACAATATCTCGGTCGAGTTCGAAGATGAGAAGGGTCCGTCAAGAAATGGCTGAGTTATCGAAAAAATTGTGATTTTTGACCAGACCATCCCTGAGGGGGAGTACGGGGATTTTTCGAAAAAAACTTTTTTGCTCATAATTATTCACAAAATACATAAATCGACTCAGTTTTTAACGCTGGTTCTGAATCTGATATTAGTTTTGAACCGAATCATAGTTTTGTGTACTCAAAAAGTGAGTCCACTATAGAATAGTCAGTGTGTCCGTCCGTCTGGTTGGCTGTTTACATGATAACTTTTGACAGCAGGGTCAGATTGCGATGAAACTTTCTACACGCCTTAGTCTTGGCAATATCTCGGTCGAGTTCGAAGATGAGAAGAACCGGCCGAGCCGTTCCTGAGTTATTGCAAAAATATCCATTTTTCCCTATAGCTTTCTGTGGAAAAAAGGACCCATCGCGACTTTCGTAAGACTTTTCCTATCATAGTCAATTAAAACCCCAACTATTATATACCATTCGATAGAGAATTTCAAGAACTACAAAATGATATATAAAACATAAAGAAACAAGAAGGTTGACTTACCAATGACAAGGATAATTAAAGAGAACTAGGTTATATTTTGGTCTACGATCTAATTGATCCACAAATAGAGCTTTATCTTCCGGTCACACTGATGATACTTCGAGGTTTTCAGATATGGAGAACTCGAATGTGTACTGCACTTCCATCGAAATACTATTAGTTGTGCAGTGACCAATAGAAATGAAGTTATAGGAAAAACGACTTTCTTAGGGTAAATCAAGGGAAAGAGTTCAAACTTGAGCTGTATTCGGTCCCATGTCCTATTGGTTTGGCAACGCGCAATAGAAATCAACATTATAAATGGTAGATTTCACAGTATAATTTTGATATTCAGACAGTCTAGGATGATTGATTTGTATGATTCACTTTTTGAAGTACACATAACTCTCGGATTTAAATCCGAAGTTTCCGCATTTATTTATTTCTTCGTTTAAATTCATCCATAATTCGCTTATGTTATCGTTCAACATCAAAAAAATTATGGTTTAACAAATCGTGATCGAAAACGTTTTTATAAAAAAGTATCTGTTGTTGAATCATCACAAATATCAACAAAATATGAAATTTTACTTGATCAGCATCAATTAAAAACATCATTAGGTAATATAATAACAATTGAAAATGAATTTCTTACATTAGCAGCACTTGCACAAGAATGGAATCAACAATATAAAAAAATTGATTTATCATCAATGCATTTATATTCTTTAATAAATACATTTATTGATAATCCATTAAAATTTACAAAAAATCAACTTATAGAAAAATTAATGTATTTTCTTGATTGAGATACATTACTTTATCGTTCAGATCAACCAGAAGAATTTCAACAATTACAAATTGAATGTTAGGATTCAACATATTATTATATATTAATAAAGAATTTCATACAAATTTTCAATCAACATATGATCTTAATATAAAAGATTTTATAAATAAAAATGATCGATATATAATTGAAAAATATTTCTTAAATTTTGATCAATCATCATTAAATATAATATTATTTATTGTTGAACAATTAAAATCTATATTATTAACTATTTGTTTATTAAAACAATATCGTTCAATAGAAAATATTGCTACATTATCACGACTTGAAACAGAATTTCAAATATCACGTTGGAATAATGTTGAATATTATCATGATTATGAAATGATGGATATATGTTCAAAAATATCAGCTGCTTATTTAATTTTCTATTGTTTAAATAATAATATAACAAGAACAATTCTAACGAATGAAACAAACTAATATAAAAATATTTCTATTTGTTTTATTCAAAATTGGTTATGATAACAAACAAAAATCCTTTGACCATTTTTTTTTGTTATTTTAGATGAATTATTTTTTTATTATGATGGAAAATACAAAAATATTTTTTTAAATATTAAAGGTAAATAAGTTTCTATAATTTTCTTAGAAATTATGAATTAAATCAAAAGGTATATTTATTATAAATGAAATCTATATAATAATGTTATTTTCTATTTGTCATAAGAGGATATTAATAGCTACAAATTGTTTGCTAAGTAAAACTATTAAAATGCTAAGTTGATATTTGCTAAGTAAAATTTCTATGTGCTCAATAAAAATAATTGAATGCTAAGTAAAAATATTGAACGCTCAGTTAATTAAAAGTTTCTCAGTAAAAAAATATTTGCTAAGTTTGATAGATAATCGCTAAGTAAAAATTTTTATTACTGAGTAATTTCCAGTAAATGTAAAGTACGATTATCGGAGATAAGAAAATTTTTTTATAGTACTATAATGTATATATTGTTTTTTCTTGCTTTCCTTCTACCATCATTCGACTGGTATTGATATATATATATATCAACATTCAATTTCGAATTCACTCCAATCTCGGATGTTCACATTGAATTAGTCCATTGTTGAATTGAGAAATTTTTTTTATTTATTAAAACCTTCGTCACTCTCAAGATATATGTTGGATTCAAAATTCTCGTTGATGAACTGTGATGGAGCAATGGTACTTCATATATTAAAATTATCAATGCAGAACCTACGTTTGAATTTGAACTCCAATATATATGATTTTCCTAAAAAACTGTTCTTCTATAGAGATTTACGTAGAGATTCACGACTGTTACTTAATTTTGTATATTGACTATTGTATTTTCTAGAGTATCATTGCTGCAAGGCCATTTGTCAACAAGAATTTCGATTTAACATCTCTCTTGAGAGTAGCTGAAGTTTTAATCAAAACAAATTCCTCAATCCGACGTTGAACCAGCCTAAAGGGAGCACCTGAGATTGACCTAGGCGGATCTAATATTGATTTGAATCTAATACTGGATGCTGACACACATATATGTTACTTATAGATTTTTTTCGTTCTGATGTAGGTGCCTGTTTTCTTAGAAAATGCTCTAGTACAATCCTATTTGTTTTTCTCTTGCTAGTTCTTTTACATAAGATTTGTATTGCTTTCTCGAGACTTCTGTTCTATCTGGCACTTTTTGGTACACTCTTTCCCTCGTTTTCTTATATACTTCTGCTGATCTGTCATTGAAAGTTTACATTGAATTAAAAAGCTAAACTATAGCAATGCGTCGAAATAAAAAAAAAAGCCGACTTTGCGATTATCCGAGCTTCTTCAAAGAATATATTTGTAAAAATATTTTAGGCACACTATTAGGTTGAAGTTTTGTAGAACATCTCTATCAGCAAAGGATATCCTTTGGATAAAAAGAGAAAACAAGAACGACTACGAAAAACAATAAAAGCTCTATTAATACAATAACTGTGCAATTAACGTTTTTTACTTAGATATTCATGTCATTTTATTTAACAAAAATTATATATTTACTTAGCGATTTACAATATTTTACTAAGAAAATCAAACTGTTTTACTTAGAATTTTTTTCAATAAATTACCTAGCAAAAATTTAATTTTTTTACTTAGCTTTTATTTAAAATTACTTAGCACTTAAATAGTAACCGATATTAATCAATATATTTATACTATCAAGAATGTTAAACAAATAGAATTGAGAATATTAGATATAAGAAAGATGCTTTTCAATCTGTTCAATATGAGAACAAAACTGAAAATAAATCAATTGATCTTTTTCATACTTAATTGTGTCTTGAATAAGAAGTCGTTCAATGACGAAATTAACTTTAGGATAACAGTAAGATATTTCACTAAATTCAGCATTAGAACTACATATCTTTTTGATTGGCATCGAAAGCTAAAAAAAAAGATTAATCTAACACGGAAACCTCGTCAGTTGATACTTTCGGTTTGAATTTATTAGTAAGATTTATAGTTTAGATTAAAACTTTAAAAGAGCCTGTGTTCGTAAATAATAATAAGAAGTTTTAGTTCAAACGAATGAGTTCTTCCTAAGATATCAGATGCCTAAAAATGAATTGCTGTATGTACAAATATATAGATGATAAAAACAATGAATCAGTACGCTTGATTAATATCATATCAATGAAGGCTTAAATGAAAATATGTTGCATTTGATCTTATTCCAACAAGACTCAACTAGATGAAATCATTTTTTGAACATTGTGACAACATCGACATATCTATCCTATCTCCTGTTTTGTGTCTGTAAAACATATGATTGATGATGTGAGAAAGTCAAATGAAGTATTATTTCATCCGAGCTATTATTTCTTTCATCAAAAATCGTTACATCTAGCAATCTTTGCTAACGAATTCTCGCAGTTTTCTGTTCGTATTCGATCATTGCAATGTTGAGTCAAAATATCTTTTTCTATTTTTAACAACCACAACTCAAACAATAAAATGTCAAACTTGTATATGAAACTACAACGGCTGACGTGACATTGTTATGTCAATTAGCTATTCTTGATTGAATAGGCAACGGTGACCTTCTTTGCATTCGCATTGCTAAATCAATCGAGGTATATAAATATATGAGTTAATTAATGCGTAAGAAGAATATCTTGAACGTGTTTATTTTCTATTGTTTTGTGATTTATCTCATTAATTTCACACTTTATATTTATTGCGTTTTTACAATACTCCTACCATTTGCACTACAAAACTACTGATCAATTCTATTATCATCAATCTCTGTCATGATCTAAATTGATGACAGGTTTAATAAACGATCTGTCAGCCAATCAACAAGGCTACAAATTATAAGCGCAGTCGTTCGTTCCCTTCTCGATCTTGTACTGACTGTCATGTCAAACTGTTACTTATTTCTTTACTTGTCAATTTTTTTTAGGGGGCGTCAATTTATTCCTTCAATATGAAATGTCTGTTCTATACAATTTTTCTGACATGTATCAATCCTACTAAGATGTTGACTGCTGTTACCGACGATTTTTTTACGAAATGTTATTGCCTTATATTTTTGAATCTTGTCGTATACATAAAACATATGACTAATATTGTTTTGGTCTTCTCATGAATTCTTTTTTTATGTGTATTATTTTGACAAATTCATTGCTCATGATGTAAACTGTCATGACATATTCCTATGTACTCGCTTTCAGATGCCGTCAGAGATTTCGATAGGGGCAATGTAACAACACCGATATATCCATCCTGTCTCATAATTATCTTTCCTATTATCCCTATCTTTCTCCCTCTCTCTCTCTCTTCTAGTTGTGTATATATAAACGTATGTTCTATGTGTAAACGATGCGATTAATGATATGAGGGAGTCAAGTAAAGTGTAATTCCATCCACACTATTATTTCTTATGTCAAAAATCATCACACACAAATATATATATATATATATATAGAAGATAAATCTTTATTAGGATATGCTGAAATATAATGAAGGTTTCTTTTTGTTATTATATTTTCAAAATAGAACAATCAAAAAACATTCGTCTGTAAACATTAGAAAATGTTTCTAACTGAATTCTTTTATAGAATACTTTATTTTTTCAGTTATTGACAATTAATGAACATTTTAATTAAATATCAAATTATTTGAATAATTCAAAAAGTAAGTTTGAAAATCTGTTAAAAAAAATAAAAATCATTAGTAGACTCAATCTATTTTTCGTTTTTATTGTTTCATATTTTAGTTATCAAACACCAAATTTCAATAATCAAATATGAATATTCTAAATTTTCTATTAACTAAAATAAAATAAAACATTAAAATTAAAATAATTATATTTTTTGTTTTTTTTTTTTTTTTCGTTTGTTTTTACTTATTACATTTTTAAGATACATCAAAAATAAAAGCAAAAATTAATTATGTTACATGTATCATCAATGGTAGCTTATGGATTTTTATCATTTATATTGGCATTTTTTAACAAAGCACTTTTTGAACTAGCTAATTTTCGTAATACTTTATGTGTAATTTTTTCTCAACTTAGTTTTATACTTATATCATTTCATATATTGGCTTATTTTAATTGTATAACACTACCTATTATGACAAAAGATGACACATATACATTAATTATTCCATCGATTTTTTATTGTTTAAATACAGTATTATCTTTACAAGCACTTATGAAACTTAATGTAGCTGTTTATGTTGTAATTAAAGTAAGTTTTAAAAAAAATTACTAATTTAATTTTGCAAATATAATTATTGCACAAGACATTGCTAAAAGTTTGTTAGCGTAGCCCCTTTGAGACTGAAATATGGAACTCACATATCTTCTTTGGTTTCATTATACTAATCACAAAATCTCCAATATTTAAATTCTCCAAAAGATAATAGTTCTTTTCTAATAATAATCGATTATCAGAAAACACTGTCGTTTTTATCTCTATATTTCGAACAGATATTTTTTTTTCTTTCTTTGGCGAAGTTGCTACGGTCTGTAATGGGGAGTGTCTGTAATGGGGACCCAATGAAAAATATTTCTAAAAATAACGGAAGAGAACGCATTCATAAAAATATAGAGACTTGCCTTTTACATGACGAATGTGTTCTACAGCTTAGCGAACGTTTTCACAAACAAAAAGAAAAGTTCTAAGTCTAAAGGAACTCATTCTTTACTGTTCCACACTAGTACGGAATGCTTTCTTCTCAGTTCAAAAATTGTTCTCTATCTGGATAGAAAGCGTTCTAAACCGTTCCATGAACCAATAGAAAGTGTCTCTGCCCTTTCTATTTCGAAACAGTTAAGATAGGATTCCATCGAAATGAGACCATTTTTTTAAACATTCTCTTGAAAAACACCTGAGAACGAAGTCTTTTGACTGATGAACGCTTTCATCTGAATTTAACATCATTTTTGATTCAAAAATGACAGCTCTGAAGTACGATACCCTGAGACTGGTGCCAAAAATGGTGGAACCTTCAATTAGTCATACTTTACAACTGGCAGTTCTGATTCCAAAAAAAAATTTTTTTTTTTAATAACAATTAGAGCACGTCATTGGATAGAGCTCGTCGAGTTGCACCAGACTCGATCTTTCAAAGAATTATGTCTGAACTTCTCTTCGAGAACTCTTATAGTGAATCTAAATTCAGGCAATAACGACTAAGAATGCGTTCCAAAAAAGGTTAGCTGTTTTTTGAGAAAAGAAAACGTTCCAATAAAGCTGGAAAAGCTAAGAACGCATTCTAAAAAACATAGAATGTGTTCTTAATGGTTCCATTTTGAAACGCTTTCTACTTTTGTTGGAACATCTTCTTTTCTTAAAAAAAGGGCTTTTAATTTTACGGGGGAGAGTCGCGAAACCTTAAACTTAAAACTGACTCTCACTATTTTCTTGGAAAATATATATGAGTTCCATAAAACGTTATTGTTTTTTTTCTATGTTATAGCGTTGTACACCAGCATTAACATTTATTTTATCTGCAATCGTATTAAAAAATCAAAATCTTACTATTAAAACAGGTTTATGTGTATTTATAATAACAATTGGTGCAGCAATAACATCTATTGGTGATGTATCCTATCATATGGAATCATATATAATCGGAAGTTTTAGTGTATTATTTCATTCACTTTATCTTCTTACAGTTCAACGTTATAGTGAACAACGAACATCAAATGATATTCTTTATATCAATAGTTTATTATCATTACCAATGATATTAATTATAATGATAATATTTACAGATGAATTATCACAAATAAAATCTTATGAAGGTTATAATACAACTAATTTTTGGTTATATTTTATATTATCAACATTTGGTGGAGGTCTACTTAATGGTGCAACTTTCTGGTGTACAATTAAAAATTCAGCATTAACAACAACGTAATTATTACAAGAAAAAAAAAATTTTTTTTTTAAATAAAATTATTATTTTATTTTAATAGTGTCGTTGGTGTTTTAAAAAGTATTCTTCAAGTATTTTTTGGTATGTTTGCATTTGATCGACTTCCAATAAATATTAAAACAATTATTGGTATTATATTATCACTTATTGGTGGTACTATGTTTAGTTATTTGGAATATACAAATAGACAAACAAAATTAAGATTATCTATACCTGAAAACAATCCGGAACAAACTGTATAGACAATTTTGAACGTATGAATGCATGACAGCAAATGCTAGAAAAACTTGTACATATTTAATAATTTATTATTTTTTTTTTTGTTGATGTTCTATCGGGTTCTTTAAAGGATTTTGTTTTTCAGATTTCAAGTGTATCCAGTTGATGCAGCTTATCTAAATCAAACAGCATATTTTTAGTGATATCGAAAACAATTCTTTTTAATCTAAAATATTGTGATATATTCTATATATGAATTTTCTTAGGTGAAATTTTCTTTTTTTTCGTTTTTTTTTTGCATTGGATCTGACGTAATCATATGAGTAAAAAAAATATATTTTATGTGTATTTTCTAGATGTTATTATGATGAATCGTTTTATTTTATATATCATTATTGGGTCTCTTTTAAATTGTACCTCTGTTATTCTTAGTAAATCATGTTCACGTGAATATAGTCGTATTGTTCGTGATTATTTTACACAAGTAAAATTTATATTAATAAATTTTTTCTTATGATTATTGTTTTTTTTTTTTTGTATGAAAATTTTAGGCAATTAGTTCAATCTATGAAAAAAATCATTTATCTATTCCTGTTGAATGTATTTTTTCATCAAAACGTGATATTTTTTATGATCAAGAATTAAATAAAGCTAAAATAAAAGATAATCAATGGTTATGTCAATATTGTAATAAATTATTTTATTCTGAATTTTATCTTGATATACATATGTCTAATCGACATAATGATACATTAATTCATGTAAGAACAAAAAAAAACAAAAAAACATTTTGTTTTTTTTTTTTTTTTGGTATCTTATAGTTTTTAATTAATTATTAGAAATTTTTTCTAGAATGATCAATCTGTATGTTTAGCTGACTATTGTTTAATATTTCGATGTGATGTTTTAAAACGACCAAAAAAATCTTTTCATTTATTTACACGAAATTCATATTTAACAAAAAGAAAATCAAAAAAAAATCTTAATGAACAACAACTTACTATTTTAAGAAGTCGATGTGCAGTGAGTAAAAGAAAAAAGAATTTTTTTTGTTGATTATTTATTTTTTGTTTATTTAATTTTAGTCTATTATTAATGAATGTGTTCCACATGATATTAAACATGATATTCGAGTTAAAATGCAACGTAAGTATTTATTCTTATATAAGAAAATATTTTTCTCATTGATTCAAAAAAAAACCAATCTAGATGTATAAAATCAAAAGAACTATCGATTTAATAAAGGGTATTTGTATTTTTTTTTTCTTTTGCTAATATTCAACTTTACAAAATTGCATATAAGTCTTCTTTACTAACATTTACACATTAAACGAGTTATGTTCACAAATATTTCCTAGAAAAAAGAAACATATATAAAACTAGTTATGATTATTTAAAAAAAAACTCACTACCCCCCTACGCTAACACGTAGAAACTCACTTGTGCTTCTCTCACACACACATACACACCTAACTTGTCTTGACTGATATACCCATAAATGTCTGTGTTCTTTTTTTTTGACATGAATACGTGCTTGTAAACGACAAATTGAAAGAATAGCTAACCGTTAACCTTAGTAATGATGCTGATTGAGCTAATGCGAGGTTATATCAATATTTGTACTGTAAAAATCGATCCAAAAAATATTTACAACATCTAGTTTGTCATCACTAACATTCAATTTGACATATGATTGAATCGATTTCTTAGGCTCTTTTATCTCTACATATGAAAAAACAAACAAAAATCTATGTATAACACATAACCAGTTTAGATTTATACTCAACAATATCGATAAAAAAAAATATGGATATTTATTAATGTGAAAAAACATAAAATTCAAATTACCTTTAGTTGTAAATTCTCTATCATAAATAGTTGAAAACGAATAAAAACACTCTAAACTCAGTCAAATTAAGCCCCCC